ATGGCTAAGCTTTGTCTCTCCTACTTTGGACATATTGTCTGGAGGAAACAATCGTTGGAGAAGGATGTCATGCTGGGTAAGGTCAGAGAAAAAGAGGAAGACCTCTAACGAGATGGATTGTCCAGGTGGCATTGATGGACTCAAGTGTGGCAGCGGTAGTGAGGTTGGTCCAGGATCAAATATTGTTTCGTTCTGCTATGCATGGGGTCGCTATGAATCGGTTCCGACTCGATGGCACCTGAAAGCAACAACAACTCCTACAAAGATTTCAAAGCTTCGGAAATCTCATACAGGGTTGGAACTGACTCAAAGGCACTTAACGATAAGCGTCGTCAACTGGCATGACATAGTCCTCAAGGACAATATTCTACACCCTCTCTTTGGTGAGTAGCCTCTGGGACTTTAAAGACTCATGAGCTGCCATTTAAGGTATAAATATTGGTCTGTCCATGTGCAAACATAAGGAGTGATGAAAACTGAAGATGCTTGGAATTAATTAGTCCAGTAGACCAATGGATTGTGCGAACATCAGTCACCCCAACTCTGAGACCATGAGAACTAGATGGTGCCTGATTTTCACTACCAACTGCTGAAAGGCATCACATTAGAAGATCTTGGGTAGAATGGCAGAAAATGTGGAACAAAACTCAAAATTATTTTTTTAAAGAAAGACTAGGCTTACTAGCCAGTGCTTAGGGAGAAGAGCTGACCACAGAATGGGGACAGTGAGGGCAAACTGGAAACTGCTAATACCTCTTTATCAAACTCTTTCATTGCCTTCAACTCCAGTGAATTTCAGAGAACATTGTCTTCCCACTTCCAAATCGCATATAAATGTCTCCTTTTGCAAACTCTAGACTCTGAACCATTCTTTGCAAGTTATCACAAAGCAAAATCAGTTCAGGAAGCTTAAGTTTGAAGAGGCTCTTTGACCTGTTCAGTCACTTAGAGACAGAGCTTAGTCTCGAAGCCCAAGTTCCTTTCTGTTAGTCAACTACTTTTCTATGCAGTGCTCTGACCTCTCACACTTACACTAAAGTTCACTGCTAGATAACCACATTTTTTCTTTTTCTCCTCAAAAGCGTTTTTACTTCATCTGGGTTTATTTTGTAATCTGAGGAAACGAAGTGCCCAGAACAAAAATAACCTTTACGGATGTCTACCAGGTGTAGGTTGACTCCTAGCTTACACCATTCAAATAACTGGTGCTCTTTTACATGGTGATTAGTGCATGGAGGGCCAGAGGGGCATGTGCTGAAGAGTTTATCTTGTAATTTCCTGAAAGTGCCACTGAGCTTTGATTCTGCAAGTTGTTAATATGATAATTTCCTTGCTTGTAATATTTAAAGATACCATTTGAATAGAACTTGGGAAATATATTTGAAAAATAAAAAAATTAAAAATTTTTTTAAATTAAAAAAATTATCACAATATTATTATTTGTTGCTTTTACTAAATATCTGTATTTGGTTTCTTTGGGTGATCTTTCAAACTTGATTGTCAGAGAAATGGTTAAAGCATTTTGTTCATTTAAATAGTGTAATGCAATGTATCATTATGTATATTACTTTGTAGGATTCTTTTTTTTCTCTACACAGAATTTAAAACATTTGTTTCATTGTTTGCTTGTTACTGTGTGCCACCCAGTTGGTTTGTACTGATAATGCCTCTATATGACAGAATAGAACTTGCCCATTGGGTTTCCTAGGTTGCGGTTTTTAAAAAAAAACATTTTTAAATTGTGAATTGAGTGAAGGTTTACAGACAAGATCATCAGTTTTACATTCTACAGTTTGTTTCCTCTCAATGTCTGCAATCCCCTCCATGGAACCATAGTTATCCCATTTCTTTCGTGGTTCCTGTTTCCATTCCGCCACCATGCTATCCCTTTTCAGCTCTGTCCTTAAGTTAATGCTTTTGAATGATGGACCATTCTTATAGTGAGCAAATCTTTCTTGTGTTGTTGTCTCCAATATATACTTATCTACTGCTTAGCTGAAAATTGAACCACTGGTGGTTAATGATGCATGGAGGGGATTATAACAACAGCAATGAAATGATATACGATAGGGTGAATGTAAAATTAATGTTCTCCCATGTAAACAATCACATGATTCACAATAAAACATTTTAAAAAAAATATATGAACCACTGGGTGAGTAGGCTGTAATCTTTATGGGAGCAGATTGCTGGGTCTTCTTTCCTTTCATTGATAGAGAGATTATGGGGACCCACTGGTGGGTTTAAACCACTGATGTGTTAGTAGTTGAGCACTCAATTGTTGTGCCACCAGGGCTCCCTTCTGTCCCATCCAGTTCCTGTCCTACATTTCACATGATTGGCAGATTGAATATGTAGAAGTAAGGCTTTCAGTTGGCCTTAAGATCCCAGAAACATATGTTATTGACCTTACTTCTGAGAGATTGTTACTATTCCATGTGTCTTTAAATCTCTTTTATTTTCTTTATGTTGCAAAGATCCATCGGACATCAGCAATGATATCCCTCATTTCATGGCCTCTTCTGAATCTGGCTTCATATATATATAATATATGAATACACACATACATACACATTCTATTCTTCCCATAAATATTCAGCATGTGTCTCTACTCTAAGTATTGTTGTTTCAAGGTTGTATATATCTCACTATTTACCTCTATCCCTGTTAGGCCTTGTATACCCCACTCTGTCTTCACCTATCTTTATCATTACTTCTGCCAACCCCCTTTTCTTTTATATTGCCCTTCCTTTCTTGTATGTTGCCCTCTCCATTACTCAAGTTAACATATATCTACCCTCTAACCTGTGAATTACTCTTCACTACTTCACACCCCTGGTAACCATCAAAGAAGGCTTCTTTTAGTCTGGAAACCTTTTCTTAAGGTTTTATAATAATGGTTTTATGCAATATTTGGCCTTTTGTTATTGTGCTCCAGGTTCATCCAGGTTACAAGGTATTTTACAGATTCATCGTTTTTCTTCAGCCTTGCATGGTATTCCATTGTGTGAATGTACCAAAGTTTATGTGTCCATTCTTTCATTATTGGGTATTGAGGCTGTCTCCATCATTTTGCTATTGTGAATAGTGCTGTGATGAACATCGACAATTTCCTGCCACATATTTCTTGTAGATATATACCAAGTAGAAGGATTGCCACTTCATAGGCTATTTATATTTCCAGTGTTTTGATGATTCGCCATACTGTTCTCCAGAGTGATTG